TAGCCTATGATGCTGCTTGGCCTGCTGTGTTCATCCAGCCCTGCACCTTGTTGTCTCGGATTCTCCAGCATCTGCAGTTCCTACTATCTCTGGTTGGTATTACCTCCCGTTCTGTTCTGCAATGGTTTGTACATCAGGTCTGGTTCAATATATTTGTTGATGGAGTTCCAGTTGGAATGCCAGGCCTCCAGGAATTCCCTGGCATGTCTCTGTTTGGCTCGTGCTTTTATAGCAAGTTTTATATGCTGAGAGTAGGTAAGCGCCTGAGACTTGTTGCAAGGGTAGGCGGTAGAAGCAGATACGATAGCAACATTTAAGTGACATTTGGACAGACACATGAACAGGCCGGGAATACAGGTATATGGACCATGAGCAGGCAGATGGGATTGCAGGCAGTTTGGAATGGTATCATGGTCAGCACGAACATATTGGGGTGGAAGGGCCTGCTCTTGTGCTGTACTCTTCTAATTTGGGGCTCCTGTGGGATTACAAATCCACAGCCAAATGTGAATGCTTAAATTTGCTAATATTAAGGCTGGCTAAGATTTTCATGGTGAATTCTGTGATATGTATTAAAAAGCAAATGGCCTTGTCAGTTGCTCCAAGCTTTCTGGAAAGGGAAGATTTAACTGAGTTATTTTCAGATATTATCCAAGGCTTGGCTAGTTGCATTGGCACAAATGTTGGAGTTAATGTTAAAAGCAGGAGCTATCAAAGCATATGTAATTGAGGTAATAGCCCAGCATTTGACGTTGGAAGAAGAAAAAGACAATCAGGACGGTAATTCGACTGAATTCATTAGAATTCAGTTGCAGCTGAATCAGCTCGAAGTGGAAGAGGTAAAATACCAAAATTAAATACCAAAACTAAAACAGGAAAGAGAATTAGCAGTGTGAAAACTTAAACTTAAGGAAACAGAAAAAGACAGAACACTTCAAAATGAGGAAAACAAAAGAGCATTTAAGAAGTTGAAACATTAATTGAATAGGATAAAATAAGAAGCAGGAGGGGGGAAATCAAACAGAGAAAGGGAATATGGTTTTAAAAAATTGGCACAAATAATCCTTCTCATAAAGGTTTAGATTCCAACTCAAGATTTGGTGAGGAATTATTTTAAATTTGTGCAAACACTCTTGAAGTTTGAAAGAGTGTAGACTCAAGATTAATTTCTCTTCAAAAGATAGCTAAGCAGATAAACAGCAGAAAGCTGACACTGCTCGTGCAAAGCAGGCTTACTGACAGGCCTCATGAAGTTTATGGGTATGCTTTCTGAGGAGGTTTCATTAGATGGGATCACAAAAAAGACTGTTCTTGGGTGCTTATGAGTTAGTCTCTAATGTTTGCGGACAGAAATTTCAGAAACTCTTGCAGTAACGGAGACAGACTTATTTAGAATTTGAAAGGATAAAGCAGAGTGACTTTTATAATTTGATGCAGCCGTTGATGGTAGAGGTCATCTATGAGATCCATCGGGAAATAATTGTCCTGGAAGAATTTTAAAATTCTCTCCCTCCATTGGAACACACCCACATAAGGGTTCTCCAGGAGGTTTTGACAACAAGATAAACAGCTGACCCGGCTGATGATTGAGTTTGTACACAAGTCCAATCCTTTTATCCGTCACTCTCACAGCCAAACAAGGTTGTAAGACAGGAGGAGATTGCTGGAACTTACAGGGCAAACCCATGGGACTTATTGGGGTACATGAGGTCAATGCAGCGAAAGGGACTCTGACAGAGAGTGTGATGGATGAAGTTGTACCTCTGAATGCAGCTGTCAGGCCACAAAGAAGCAAGAGTATTGATGCAGAGGATGTGAAGAAGATATTTGAGAGTCACATGGAATTCTGTTCCAAGGGAAAAGCAACTCGTTATTTCAATAAGGGAGGCTGTTAAACCTACTGTTATCGTTTGGAACAAAAATTCTGTTTTCTTTTCAGCTCTCTAGCATACACAGTTCTTTGTTTGATTTTATTTGTTATACTTTGGGAAATATGAGTCACCCAAACTTTTTTGCTTTGGAAAAACATGACTTTTCCAGTAGAGAGCACACTGAATGCTGAAGTTTCAGTGAACAGTATTGGATAGGACTATACTTTTGTATTGGGTGCACCTGGGTGTGACCTAATGTCTGGAATGGTAACTGTAGGGGTTGGCCCATAGTTTACTGATGGATGGTGTTGATGTATCCCTGAAAACTGGTTTGGCTGGATGGAAAGTAGTGACTTACCCTCTTGTCACAAACACCAAGCAAGGTTAAGAAAACCGAGCAGTTGCTGGAGAAGGGTTGGGATTATTTTTTCTTTGTGTGTAGTGACCTAAGCAATGCCTAAACAAATCCCACCATTGGAAGTCATATTAACACCAGTATCAGATATCTGGCTATCTGAAGCTGTTGTTGTGAATTGGGAAAATCGAAAATAAATATTCAATATCTCTTCTCAGTTTGAGGCTCAGCAACCTAATTCAGAGCTAAGTAGCACTATTGGCTCAAAATGAGACTGAAGCAGAGGAAATTCCAGAATTCTGCTGCATTAAAAATAGGATTCTGGTGAGTAAATGGAGACCTCTTCACAGACTTGCAGGTGAAGAGTGGATGGTGGTTCATCAGATAGTAGTGCTGCCCAAATATTGTCAGGAGATATTCAGGATATTCCATGAAATACCTATACACAATATTAACAAAATTCTGTGGATGCTGTAGGCTTGAAATTAAAAAGAAAGTGCTGCAGGAACTCAGCAGGTCTGGCAGCATCTATAGAGAGAGAAACACAGTTAACATCACAATCCCGTATGACTCGTCTTTGGAACTGAAGAGGTTTGGAAAAAAAATTATGGTTTTATGCTGCATATATATGGTGGGACATATAGGGATCAAGCAGTCAATATTTTTCCTGATCAGTCACTGCTCTCAACATAAACCTAACCAAAATGTGGGACACAGCATATTCAGCACATATTTCACAAGTTGGAATTTATGGACAATGAAGGAAAAGCAATCAACAAGGAGTGCATTTGAGTAATTAAGTATGAATGTGACAAGAGGTAAATAGCAATTGAAAAGTAGATATGCAGAACCAGTTATTTATATATAATACTATTTATGATGGAGAGGATATGGACACTGATACTAAAGTTAGAAGCAAACATCATATTAAGGTTGCAAACAATCTAAGGAATTTCCTGAAAAAGTAAAAGAAAGCAGAGTTTATGGCAGAGGCCAAAGTTGATTACATTAGTCTTCTGAACTTTGAGTTTGAGGAAGTCACAGCTCATCTATATCTGAGTATCAGACAAACAGTTTGCTAACACAGAGCCAGTCGATGGTAATGTGGAAGTTACAGATCATGTTGAAATGGGCATTTACAGATGAAGAAGTTAACTGAACAGAAGAAAGGTTCTTGAGGCGGGAGTTGTGGTGGTGGGGGAGTGGATGGGGAGGGTGTGAGAAGGTGTGGTGGCAGGAAATGCGAGCTCCTGAGTTAACAGTGATTAGGGAAGAGAAGCTACTGCTGGTTAAAATTGAATATGTAGGAAAGGAAGCATATGGTGACAGACCCACAAAGCTAGTTAATGAATGAGCACAATATCTTTAACCACTCAAAATGCTGCAGAGACACTTAGGAGGACTAAATCAAAAGTCGTCATTGCAGAGGGTGAGCTCTTCCTCTCTGGTCATTCATCTGGTTTATTTTAATCAAAAATGCTTTCATGTTGCAACTTCGTCAGTCTGTTTCATATTTTCATTCTGCCTTGAACAGAAGCATTTGTCTGCAAAATCTTGTCCCTTCTGCTCTAACTATGCCACAATTCTTCATTTTTCTTCTGATCATCATCACAAGAACGCAGAGGCAAACAGTTTCCGCTGGTGTCACCGACAGGGACAAGCAAGCTGTGCCATTGCGATGATTGGAAAATGATGATCACCCTGATTTGCTGCCAATCCAGCCAATGCTAACTTGTAAGGCCATACTGAGTCAGGCAACACAATCATTCTGTAAGGAATTCAGCATTCTAGGATGCATGCACTGGCCATTACACATGGGCTTCATAGGTATAGTTGCTTGTCCGACTGGTAAGGCTTCATCTTTAATTGTGGGTACAGGAGAAGCAGGGTTGCCACTCTAATTTCAATAAAACAATTAACAAAACTGCTATGCTGAGAATTCCTTCTCACAAGAGTGGACCTTCTTTGGATCCACCATTGACATGGTCTCAGTATCAGCTAGGTCTATTGTGCAGGTACAATTACAGGCTATACAACGGCATTCATTTTCCACCTTCAACTCACCAGCTTTATGCTAATAAGTTCAGGCCAGCAAAATGGACTAGGTGGAACAATCAGGTGGCTGCTTAAAAGCCAATTCTGTCAAAGTCTACCCCATCAGTCTTCCTTTTCAAGCTGTCATTGTTTTACAAAGGCTTCAATTACAAACTCTTGGCTCTTGTAATTGATTTGATCCTGTTGTCAGAGGTCAGGTTGACCGGCTAGTTTATGCCTGCTGGGCTCACCGGAACAGTATCAAAGCCTATAATTTCAGCAAGTGAGGAACCATTAGATTGAAGATAAAGGATTTTATTTCCATGTAATCTAAGAAGTAGTAAAATTACTTCAGTATATTTTGCACACTTAGTGTTTGTACATGAACTTTGCATTATTTTTATCAGCAGGCTTTCATTTTACCGACAACTTTTAATTCGGGATTTTTGTCAACCTGCGAATTATGGCCCGTATGATAAAGGAGACATTCTTTAGGGAAACCATCATACATTGCTTGCATATATACAAATCCTTAATTCCTGTTAGCTTTGATAAGGACTACTTACTTTCGTAAAATTCATGACCTTCAGGATCCATATTGTCAGAGCGAGATTCACCAAGAGCAGAATCATCAAGAGGAGGACAAAAAAATAAAGGCACCGCTTTCGCCAACCATAAATCCCGATTTTGTAGACATATTGGTTTTCTGAGGTCTGGATGTTGTCTCGTTGAGTCAAGTACTGTTCCTGTGTCATCTGCATAACAGAAAAGATTGTTAACAGAAAGGAAATAATGAGATGTTTCTACTGGCTCACCCACATTTCACAAAAAAAACTGATGGACCCTGTGAATAAACTGATAAGTATTTTGTTTCTATCTTGATATTGTTGAAGACAATAGTAGAACAAATGAAGAGAGGAACCTCAAGCAATTATAATCACTACGGTAGAAGTACTATGCAAACGAATGGGAATAAATGTGACAAGAGCTCATGGTCTGCATCATTACTTCTCAGAGGAAATGGCTGCAGATATATTTAATGCATTGGTTATAATAATCCAAAATTCCTAGATTCTGGAAAAATCTCAGCAGATTGGAAAGTCATTGAGGTCTACAGTACAGACAAAAGCTCTTCGGCCCATTGAGAGCAAACTGTTCAAAAAAAAGCACCTAACTATTCTAACCTCATTTTCCAGCACTTGGCCCATAGCCTTATAAACATTGTCATTGCAAATGCACATCTAAATACTACTACATGAGGCTTTTTGTCTCTACCACCCTTACATGTAGTTAAGTTCCCATCTCCCTTGGTGAAAACACTTTTCCTCACATCTCCTCTAAACCACCTCCTCTTATCTTAAGCCTATGTCACCTGATCATTATCCCCCACTATTAAGGGGAAAAGTTTTTCCTATCTACTCTGTCTCTGCTCCTCATAATTTTATTCATGACCACCAAAACACACCCACCAATCTCCTCTGCTCCAAGGGAAACAACTCTACTCTGTCCAGTCTTTCTTCATAACTGAAACTCTAGCTCAAGTAAATATCTTCTATAACCTTGCCAATGCAGTCCATATTCCTTCCATTAATGTGAATTTCAGAAGTGTACACAATAGTCTCTGTGACTGAACCAACATTTTACACACTTCCAAAATAACCTCCCTGGTCTTAAACTTTATACCTCACCTAATAAAGGCAAATATCCCATATGGCTTCTTAACCACTTTATCCATCCATCCTGCTACCCTAAGAGACTGGTGGACATGCACATTGAGGTTCCTCTGATGCTTGGTGCTTCCCAGGGAAAAATCCATTCATCATGTTTTCATGTAGCCTCAAATATACCACCATCATTCAAGAAAGGGTAGAGACAGAAAGCAGAAAACCATAACCCAGTTACTGTAATGTCTGTCATTGGGAAATTGTTAAAATTTATTATTAAGGTGGTAATAGAAAATGATATAGCAGAACCACCATAATTTTAAAAAAGGCAAAATCATTTTACACAAATTTATGGGATTAATTTGAGGATGTAACAAGCAGGGTAGATAAAGAGGCATTAATAGATGTCGTGCATTTTGATTTTCAAAATGCATTTATTAGGGTGCGACATAAAAGGCTACTACAGATGATAAGGGCCAATGATAGATTTCAATGCATAGATGATTGGCTAACTAACAGGAAAAAGAGGGTCAGGATAAATTGGTATTTTTCATGGTCGGTAAACTGTAGCTAACGGAGTAACTCAGGGATCCGTGTTGGAATCTCAAATTATTTACAATCTACATTCATGATTTGGATGAAGGCAATGTCTGTATTGTAGCCAAATGTACTGATGATACAAAGATAGGTAGTAAAACAACTTATGTAGTGCGTAAAGAGACAGAGAAAGGTTAGGTGAGTAGTTAAAACATTTGGCAGATGGTGTATAACACAGGAAAATGTCAGGTTGCCAACCTGTCAATAGTGGAATGATCAGAATATGTCACCTGCCTAATAGTTTTAACCTCCGCAAATATTCGTACTAGCTGGATGTTGACTGCTTCAGTTTTGCCTTTTCATTTCCATTGATTTGTCACCTTTCGTTCAAAGGATCATCATCGTGCTCCAGGCAATCTCCATTTAACAAGAACTTTCAGTTCCATCATATTCATCAAATTTAACGAACGTTTGTGTTCACTCTCTCTCTTTCTCTAGAGATTCTTTTTCAAATGTTTACTCATTGATTTTAGCAGACTGTTTCCTCAGCTAATAACTCAGCAGTGATTTTCATGCTCTGAATATTTCAGTGAAAGATCGAATTCTTCCCCATCAAGGTATCTTTTTGTGAGTCAATTGTGTAAGAACACTGGCTGTCTCTGCACAGGGCTTATTTAATCTTTTCATCCTCAGTATCCAAAGTTTGATAGAATTGTCTGATGGCTGACGGCACCATTATCTACTTGGGTATGCATGCTGTCATTGAAACTGAACTCAACTGTGCAAGCTGCCGATTTCTTAAGTCAGTTAATACCAATTAGGATAATGCTGGTGGGTCTAAAGCACCATGACATGGTGCTGCATACCAAATGTCTACGGTTTTCTCAAGCGGTATATTCCATTCTGTCTACCATGTTTCGGCCCCTCATAATGTTATACCTCTCAATCATGTCCTCCCTCAGTCTCCTCTGCTCCAAAGAAAACAACCCCAGTGAATCTAAGATAACACAGTGTGGAGCTGGAGGAACACAGCAGGCCAGGCAGCATCAGAGGAGCAGGAAAGCAGATGTTTCAGGTCAGGACCCTTCTTCAGAAATGGGGGAGGGGGAAGAGAGCTCTGAAATAAATAGAGGGAGCAGGGATGGGGCTGGGGAAGGTAGCTGGGATGGTGAGTGCAGGTAGGGAGTGGTGGGTATTGGTATCTAATCTCTCTTCATAACTAAAACTCTCCAGCTCAGGCAACATCCTGGTATATCCTCTGCACCCTCTCCAGAGCAATCACATCCTTCTATAATGTGGATTCCAGAATTACACACAATACTCTAGTTGTGGCCTAGCCAATTTTTTATGTAGTTCCAGCATAACCTCCCTGTTCTTAAGCTCTATGCTTTGACTAATAATGGAAGTTTGTCATAAGGCCTCTTAAACATTTTATCTACCTCTGCAGCTACATTAGGAACCAGTGGACATGCACACCAAGGACCCCCTGATCGTTAGTACTTACTGATAAATCCTTCTACATTCAAGTCTAAATCATTTATAGAAACCACAAACAGCAAGGGCCCAACACTGAGCCTTGTGGAACCCCACTGGGCAAAAGCTTCCAGACACAAAACCACCCCTCAACTATCACCCTCTACTTCCGGCCACTCAGCCAATTCTGGATCTAACTGGTGAAATCTCCTTGGATCTGATGGGCTCTTACTTTTGCAATCAGTCTCCTGTGAGGACTTTAGTCAAAAACTTACTGAAGTCCAAGTAGACTACATTAATTGCATTGTCCTCTTCGCCATACCTGGTTAGCTCTACAAAAACATTCAATCAAGTTGGTCAGGATGATCATCCCTCAATAAGACCATGCTGGGTGTTCTTGATTAATCCCTCCCCTTCAAGTGCAGATTAATTCTGTTCTACAGAATTGCTTGGTTCCCCACCACTGAGGTTAGACTGAGCAGCCTGTAGTTTCCTGGTTTATCCCTTGCTCCCTTTTGGAATAACTGTACTACATTGGCTTTCCTCCAGTCCTCTGGCACCTCTGCTGTGGCCAGACAGGAATTAAAAATTATTGCAATGCCCCTACTATTTCTCCCTTGCCTGGGATATATTTCATCTGGCCCTAGAGATTTATCTACTTGTAAGCCTGCCAACTACTCTGAACCTCCTGTCTATGCTAATTTCTTTTAGTATATCACAGCCCTTCTCCCTGAGTTCTATACCTACATCAGCCCTCTCACTAGTGAACACTGACAAAAAGTATACATTCAGAACTGTACCTTTGTCCTCCAGCTCTCCACACAAATTACCACTATGGCCCTTAATGGGCCCTATTTTTTTGCCTAGTTATCCTTTTACCCTTCATGTACTTGTAACATAACTTCGGATGTTCCTTTTATTTTACCTGACATTTTTCTTCCGAAGTTTCCTTTTGCACAGTCTGTATTCTTCCCAGGCTTTTGCTGTTTTGAGCCCTTGGTACCTGCTATAAGGCTTCCTTTTTCTCTTTATCCAATCTTGTTTTCCCTTGATATCCAGAGCTTGGTGGATTTACAGTCCCACCTTTTATCTTTATTGGAACATGTTTGCCCTCTCGACTATTCCCTTCTTGAATACATTCCATTGTATCCACAGAAATGCCTGCCTGTTCTGCTTACAATTCCCTACCATTATAGCTCTGGCATTCTTCTTCCTCCCATCTTGTGCAGCACAGCCACCCATGGTTGGCTTTCCCCTGGAGGCAAAAGGGTTATCATTTTAATCCAAGGTTCTTGCCGCGGATTTTGGGAAAAGGGATCTTGTTCAAAGCACAGGTAGTTGGTCCCAAGACAAGAAAGACAAAGCTTTTCAAATCCTAAACTAAAGCCAACCCTACACAACAAAGAGCTTGATCACTTAATTACCAGTTCCAAGTTGACAAGGGAGACAATGGCATTCACTCAATTGACATAATCAAGGAAATGACAGAGCCCATTGGAGGGCAGTTTCCTTCTGCCTTCTGCTGGGGGAGGCAATGGCCCAGTGGTATTATCGCTGGACTGTTAATCCAGAGACCAGACAACATTCTGGGGACCCGGGTTCGAATCCTGCCACAGCAGATGGTGGAATTTGAATTCAAAAAAATCTAATGATGACCATGAATCAATTGTCAGGAAAAACCTGGTTCACTAATGTCCTTTAGGAAAGGAAACTGACATCCTTACCTGGTCTGGCCTACATATGACTCCAGGCCCACAGCAATGTGGTTGACTCTGAACTGCCCTCTGGGCAATTAGGGATGGGCAATAAATGCTGCCTAACCAGTGATGCCCTCATCCCATAAATGAATAAAGATTAAAAAAATGTTTATATGTTGTACGATATTCAAGATCAAGAGTCCCCATTGTTTCACAATAGCCGCTAGATGAGGGACAGGAAAACAATATGTATTCAAACAATGTTTTCTTTCCAGGAGACCAATCAGAAAAAAGATCTAATAGCACAGCCCTTGGAAAGCAGTGGCAGGATCAGACAGACTCAGCACGGATTTACAAAAGAGAAATCATGCTTGACAAATCTAC